GATAACCCTTCAGAGGTAGACAGGTCTTGATAACCCTTCAGAGGTAGACAGGTCTTGATAACCCTTCAGAGGTAGACAGGTCTTGATAACCCTTCAGAGGTAGACAGGTCTTGATAACCCTTCAGAGGTAGACAGGTCTTGATAACCCTTCAGAGGTAGACAGGTCTTGATAACCCTTCAGAGGTAGACAGGTCTTGATAACCCTTCAGAGGTAGACAGGTCTTGATAACCCTTCAGAGGTAGACAGGTCTTGATAACCCTTCAGAGGTAGACAGGTCTTGATAACCCTTCAGAGGTAGACAGGTCTTGATAACCCTTCAGAGGTAGACAGGTCTTGATAACCCTTCAGAGGTAGACAGGTCTTGATAACCCTTCAGAGGTAGACAGGTCTTGATAACCCTTCAGAGGTAGACAGGTCTTGATAACCCTTCAGAGGTAGACAGGTCTTGATAACCCTTCAGAGGTAGACAGGTCTTGATAACCCTTCAGAGGTAGACAGGTCTTGATAACCCTTCAGAGGTAGACAGGTCTTGATAACCCTTCAGAGGTAGACAGGTCAGAGGTAGACAGGTCTTGATAACCCTTAGACAGAGGTAGACAGGTCTTGATAACCCTTCAGAGGTAGACAGGTCTTGATAACCCTTCAGAGGTAGACAGGTCTTGATAACCCTTCAGAGGTAGACAGGTCTTGATAACCCTTCAGAGGTAGACAGGTCTTGATAACCCTTCAGAGGTAGACAGGTCTTGATAACCCTTCAGAGGTAGACAGGTCTTGATAACCCTTCAGAGGTAGACAGGTCTTGATAACCCTTCAGAGGTAGACAGGTCTTGATAACCCTTCAGAGGTAGACAGGTCTTGATAACCCTTCAGAGGTAGACAGGTATAACCCTTCAGACAGGTCTTGATAACCCTTCAGAGGTAGACAGGTCTTGATAACCCTTCAGAGGTAGACAGGTCTTGATAACCCTTCAGAGGTAGACAGGTCTTGATAACCCTTCAGAGGTAGACAGGTCCCTTGAGGTAACCCTTGATAACCCTTCAGAGGTAGACAGGTCTTGATAACCCTTCAGGTCTTGATAACCCTTCAGAGGTAGACAGGTCTTGATAACCCTTCAGAGGTAGACAGGTCTTGATAACCCTTCAGAGGTAGACAGGTCTTGATAACCCTTGATAACAGAGGTAGACAGGTCTTGATAACCCTTCAGAGGTAGACAGGTCTTGATAACAGGTCTTGATAACCCTTCAGAGGTAGACAGGTCTTGATAACCCTTCAGAGGTAGACAGGTCTTGATAACCCTTCAGAGGTAGACAGGTCTTGATAACCCTTCAGAGGTAGACAGGTCTTGATAACCCTTCAGAGGTAGACAGGTCTTGATAACCCTTCAGAGGTAGACAGGTCTTGATAACCCTTCAGAGGTAGACAGGTCTTGATAACCCTTGATAACAGAGGTAGACAGGTCTTGATAACCCTTCAGAGGTAGACAGGTCTTGATAACCCTTCAGAGGTAGACAGGTCTTGATAACCCTTCAGAGGTAGACAGGTCTTGATAACCCTTCAGAGGTAGACAGGTCTTGATAACCCTAGACAGGTCTTGATAACAGAGAGGTAGACAGGTCTTGATAACCCTTCAGAGGTAGACAGGTCTTGATAACCCTTGAGGTAGACAGGTCTTGATAACCCTTCAGAGGTAGACAGGTCTTGATAACCCTTCAGAGGTAGACAGGTCTTGATAACCCTTCAGAGGTAGACAGGTCTTGATAACCCTTCAGAGGTAGACAGGTCTTGATAACCCTTCAGAGGTAGACAGGTCTTGATAACCCTTCAGAGGTAGACAGGTCTTGATAACCCTTCAGAGGTAGACAGGTCTTGATAACCCTTCAGAGGTAGACAGGTCTTGATAACCCTTCAGAGGTAGACAGGTCTTGATAACCCTTCAGAGGTAGACAGGTCTTGATAACCCTTCAGAGGTAGACAGGTCTTGATAACCCTTCAGAGGTAGACAGGTCTTGATAACCCTTCAGAGGTAGACAGGTCTTGATAACCCTTCAGAGGTAGACAGGTCTTGATAACCCTTCAGAGGTAGACAGGTCTTGATAACCCTTCAGAGGTAGACAGGATAACCCTTGATAACCCTTCAGAGGTAGACAGGTCTTGATAACCCTTCAGAGGTAGACAGGTCTTGATAACCCTTAGACAGAGGTAGACAGGTCTTGATAACCCTTCAGAGGTAGACAGGTCTTGATAACCCTTCAGAGGTAGACAGGTCTTGATAACCCTTCAGAGGTAGACAGGTCTTGATAACCCTTCAGAGGTAGACAGGTCTTGATAACCCTTCAGAGGTAGACAGGTCTTGATAACCCTTCAGAGGTAGACAGGTCTTGATAACCCTAGACAGGTCTTGATAACCCTTCAGAGGTAGACAGGTCTTGATAACCCTTCAGAGGTAGACAGAGGTAGACAGGTCTTGATAACCTTGATAACTTCAGAGGTAGACAGGTCTTGATAACCCTTCAGAGGTAGACAGGTCTTGATAACCCTTCAGAGGTAGACAGGTCTTGATAACCCTTCAGAGGTAGACAGAGGTAGACAGGTCTTGATAACCCTTCAGAGGTAGACAGGTCTTGATAACCCTTCAGAGGTAGACAGGTCTTGATAACCCTTCAGAGGTAGACAGGTCTTGATAACCCTAGACAGGTCAGAGGTAGACAGGTCTTGATAACCCTCTCAGAGGTAGACAGGTCTTGATAACCCTTCAGAGGTAGACAGGTCTTGATAACCCTTCAGAGGTAGACAGGTCTTGATAACCCTTCAGAGGTAGACAGGTCTTGATAACCCTTCAGAGGTAGACAGGTCTTGATAACCCTAGACAGGTCTTGATAACCCTTCAGAGGTAGACAGGTCTTGATAACCCTTCAGAGGTAGGGTCTTGATAACCCTTCAGACAGGTCTTGATAACCCTTCAGAGGTAGACAGGTCTTGATAACCCTTCAGAGGTAGACAGGTCCCTTAGATATACCCTTCAGAGGTAGACAGGTCTTGATAACCCTTCAGAGGTAGACAGGTCTTGATAACCCTTCAGAGGTAGACAGGTCTTGATAACCCTTCAGAGGTAGACAGGATAACCCTTGATATACCCTTCAGAGGTAGACAGGTCTTGATAACCCTTCAGAGGTAGACAGGTCTTGATAACCCTTCAGAGGTAGACAGGTCTTGATAACCCTTCAGAGGTAGACAGGTCTTGATAACCCTTCAGAGGTAGACAGGTCTTGATAACCCTTCAGAGGTAGACAGGTCTTGATAACCCTCCAGAGGTAGACAGGTCTTGATAACCCTTCAGAGGTAGACAGGTCTTGATAACCCTAGACAGGTCAGAGGTAGACAGGTCTTGATAACCCTTCAGGTCTTGATAACCCTTCAGAGGTAAACAGGTCTTGATAACCCTTCAGAGGTAGACAGGTCTTGATAACCCTTCAGAGGTAGACAGGTCTTGATAACCCTTCAGAGGTAGACAGGTCTTGATAACCCTACAGAGGTAGACAGGTCTTGATAACCCTTCAGAGGTAGACAGGTCTTGATAACCCTTGATAACAGAGGTAGACAGGTCTTGATAACCCTTCAGAGGTAGACAGGTCTTGATAACCCTTCAGAGGTAGACAGGTCTTGATAACCCTTCAGAGGTAGACAGGTCTTGATAACCCTTCAGAGGTAGACAGGTCTTGATAACCCTTCAGAGGTAGACAGGTCTTGATAACCCTTCAGAGGTAGACAGGTCTTGATAACCCTTCAGAGGTAGACAGGTCTTGATAACCCTTCAGAGGTAGACAGGTCTTGATAACCCTTCAGAGGTAGACAGGTCTTGATAACCCTTCAGAGGTAGACAGGTCTTGATAACCCTTCAGAGGTAGACAGGTCTTGATAACCCTTAGACAGGTCTTGATAACCCTTCAGAGGTAGACAGGTCTTGATAACCCTTCAGAGGTAGACAGGTCTTGATAACCCTTAGACAGGTCTTGAGGGTAGACAGGTCTTGATAACCCTTCAGAGGTAGACAGGTCTTGATAACCCTTCAGAGGTAGACAGGTCTTGATAACCCTTCAGAGGTAGACAGGTCTTGATAACCCTTCAGAGGTAGACAGGTCTTGATAACCCTTCAGAGGTAGACAGGTCTTGATAACCCTTCAGAGGTAGACAGGTCTTGATAACCCTTCAGAGGTAGACAGGTCTTGATAACCCTTCAGAGGTAGACAGGTCTTGATAACCCTTCAGAGGTAGACAGGTCTTGATAACCCTTCAGAGGTAGACAGGTCTTGATAACCCTTCAGAGGTAGACAGGTCTTGATAACCCTTCAGAGGTAGACAGGTCTTGATAACCCTTCAGAGGTAGACAGGTCTTGATAACCCTTCAGAGGTAGACAGGTCTTGATAACCCTTCAGAGGTAGACAGGTCTTGATAACCCTTCAGAGGTAGACAGGTCTTGATAACCCTTCAGAGGTAGACAGGTCTTGATAACCCTTCAGAGGTAGACAGGTCTTGATAACCCTTCAGAGGTAGACAGGTCTTGATAACCCTTCAGAGGTAGACAGGTCTTGATAACCCTTCAGAGGTAGACAGGTCTTGATAACCCTTCAGAGGTAGACAGGTCTTGATAACCCTTCAGAGGTAGACAGGTCTTGATAACCCTTCAGAGGTAGACAGGTCTTGATAACCCTCCAGAGGTAGACAGGTCTTGATAACCCTTCAGAGGTAGACAGGTCTTGATAACCCTTCAGAGGTAGACAGGTCTTGATAACCCTTCAGAGGTAGACAGGTCTTGATAACCCTTCAGAGGTAGACAGGCCTTGATAACCCTTCAGAGGTAGACAGGTCTTGATAACCCTTCAGAGGTAGACAGGTCTTGATAACCCTTCAGATGTAAACAGGCCTTGATAACCCTTCAGAGGTAGACAGGTCTTGATAACCCTCCAGAGGTAAACAGGCCTTGATAAGGCCTGGGTCTAATGAAAACCCAGAAAAGGCCGCTTACAGATGTCATAAAGATTTCCAACCCATTCGCGGTGCTGGAAGACGAGTGCTGTATAGAGACTGCAGTTCGCTCGGATGTCAAAGCAACGAAGGGAGCCCAGGTTTATCTTGGTGCTCACAAAGTAAAGGAAGTAACTAAGCAAATTTTGGTTGTGGGAGAGTCCCAGGTGAGATATTTGGATAGATCTTTTTGTGACAGAGATAAGGGGGGAACAGGTTAAGAGTTTGCTATCTAGGAGCAGGAATTGATGATATAGTAAACAACATGAATGATATTATGGCTCGAAATGGGAACAAACCCATTGTATGTATATGTATGTGCTGGTGGAAATGATGTTGGACGAGTTTGGAGTGAGGAACTGATACAGAGGTTTATAACACCCATAGATTTATTTAGGAGCAAGGGTGTATCCCGATCATATGTGGCATTCTTCTAAGAAAGGGAGTTGAAAATAAATGGTTGTCGAGGCCACTTGGTGTCAATTGCCGACTGGACAGATAGTGTAAATCAAATGCAATACCCATCATTGATAACTGGGAACTCTTTTATGAAAGGAATGACATGTATGCAAGGTATGGGGTGCATCTCTCTAGGGCTGGGGTTGTTGCTGTTACCAACTCGCTGGAACCTGTGGTTCGAGGCGTTTGTTTGGGTTTAAACTGTTATTAAATGGTGGTACAGGAATTGATATGGAAAAAGTAGGTAATAAAAGTATGTGTTGGTGGGGGGGGGGGACAAATGGCAAAATGAACGAGGAAGGAAAAGGGCCTCAAAATAACAATACACTTAAGGTATATTACACGAATAGAAGAAACAAAATAAACTATTTAAATGCTCTTGTCTGCACAGAAACAATAGATATTATTGCACTTACCGAAACATAGATAACTGTAGAAAACAGAGAACTATTAACAGAAAATCAATTAAACGGATTTAAACTATTTCACTTGATAGATATATTAGACGAGGCGGGGGAGTAGTCATATATGTTAGGGACAATTTGAAATGTAGTCTCAAAGAGAGAATCAAAACTGAACAACACACAGATACTATTTGGCTAGAATTAAAGAAAAAGCTAGAAATCTTATAATAGGGAGTTATATACAGGCCATCAAACTTAGATAGAATGGAAGCAAAGCACCTTTGGGATGAAATAAATAGAGCTTCTAGGTCAAATAGTATTTGTGTCAGTTTTAGTGAAATAAACTGGATTAACAAAACAGGAAATAATGAAGCAGAAGATTTTCTAGAATTAATTGACGATTGCTTTCTTACGCAACACATTAAGGAACCAACGCGGGAAAATAATATTTTAGACTTAGTGTTAACTAACAGGGAGACACAAATTAATGACAACGAAATAGGGAGTGAGCTAGGGAACAGTGATCACAAAGAAATCAGATTTAGCATAAAACGGAATAGATTAGTAGAAGAAAGTTCTGTTAAAGTGCCAGATTTGCGAAAAAGCTGATTTTAATGGCCTAAGAAAATTTTTAGTGAAAAAGATTGGAAAGTCCTGGGCATTGGGAGGTGGTCAGTCTTGGAGCGAGACGTGAACCCAGCAATGGGTGATGTAAAAAGGGATTTCGATGTGGACTTAAAATATAACTTATTTCAAAATATTCTAAGCAAAGCACAGACACGTAGAATACCATACAAATTGAATAGATCAAATAATACTGACCCGAAATAGAAAACAAAGGAACCGAAGAACCTTATAGGTAGAAAGTGAGCTTGGTGCAAGAGGATTAAGAATGGGGAAGTCAGTTTAGAACAAGAATTCGTCCAACTGGTTAGAAATGTTAAAAAAGAGATAAGGAAGGTAAAAAGAAATTATGAAGTTCGCATAGCAGGGCAAGCAAAGATAAAAAGGCGTCCACTGTAGCCTCCCGGAGCCACAGTGGTGCCAGCAAGAAGCCTCCCGGAGCCACAGTGGTGCCAGCAAGAAGCCTCCCGGAGCCACAGTGGTGCCAGCAAGAAGCCACCCGGAGCCACAGTGGTGCCAGCAAGAAGCCACCCGGAGCCACAGTGGTGCCAGCAAGAAGCCACCCGGAGCCACAGTGGTGCCAGCAAGAAACCTCCCGGAGCCACAGTGGTGCCAGCAAGAAGTCTCCCGGAGCCACAGTGGTGCCAGCAAGAAGTCTCCCGGAGCCACAGTGGTGCCAGCAAGAAGCCTCCCGGAGCCACAGTGGTGCCAGCAAGAAGCCTCCCGGAGCCACAGTGGTGCCAGCAAGAAGCCTCCCGGAGCCACAGTGGTGCCAGCAAGAAACCTCCCGGAGCCACAGTGGTGCCAGCAAGAAGTCTCCCGGAGCCACAGTGGTGCCAGCAAGAAGCCACCCGGAGCCACAGTGGTGCCAGCAAGAAGACTCCCGGAGCCACAGTGGTGCCAGCAAGAAGCCTCCCGGAGCCACAGTGGTGCCAGCAAGAAGCCACCCGGAGCCACAGTGGTGCCAGCAAGAAGCCACCCGGAGCCACAGTGGTGCCAGCAAGAAGCCTCCCGGAGCCACAGTGGTGCCAGCAAGAAGCCTCCCGGAGCCACAGTGGTGCCAGCAAGAAGCCACCCGGAGCCACAGTGGTGCCAGCAAGAAGCCACCCGGAGCCACAGTGGTGCCAGCAAGAAGCCACCCGGAGCCACAGTGGTGCCAGCAAGAAGTCTCCCGGAGCCACAGTGGTGCCAGCAAGAAGCCTCCCGGAGCCACAGTGGTGCCAGCAAGAAGCCACCCGGAGCCACAGTGGTGCCAGCAAGAAGCCACCCGGAGCCACAGTGGTGCCAGCAAGAAGCCACCCGGAGCCACAGTGGTGCCAGCAAGAAGCCTCCCGGAGCCACAGTGGTGCCAGCTAGAAGCCTCCCGGAGCCACAGTGGTGCCAGCAAGAAGCCACCCGGAGCCACAGTGGTGCCAGCAAGAAGCCACCCGGAGCCACAGTGGTGCCAGCAAGAAGCCTCCCGGAGCCACAGTGGTGCCAGCAAGAAGCCTCCCGGAGCCACAGTGGTGCCAGCAAGAAGTCTCCCGGAGCCACAGTGGTGCCAGCAAGAAGCCTCCCGGAGCCACAGTGGTGCCAGCAAGAAGTCTCTCGGAGCCACAGTGGTGCCAGCAAGAAGTCTCCCGGAGCCACAGTGGTGCCAGCAAGAAGTCTCCCGGAGCCACAGTGGTGCCAGCAAGAAGCCTCCCGGAGCCACAGTGGTGCCAGCAAGAAGTCTCCCGGAGCCACAGTGGTGCCAGCAAGAAGCCTCCCGGAGCCACAGTGGTGCCAGCAAGAAGCCTCCCGGAGCCACAGTGGTGCCAGCAAGAAGCCTCCCGGAGCCACAGTGGTGCCAGCAAGAAGCCACCCGGAGCCACAGTGGTGCCAGCAAGAAGCCACCCGGAGCCACAGTGGTGCCAGCAAGAAGCCACCCGGAGCCACAGTGGTGCCAGCAAGAAACCTCCCGGAGCCACAGTGGTGCCAGCAAGAAGTCTCCCGGAGCCACAGTGGTGCCAGCAAGAAGTCTCCCGGAGCCACAGTGGTGCCAGCAAGAAGCCTCCCGGAGCCACAGTGGTGCCAGCAAGAAGCCTCCCGGAGCCACAGTGGTGCCAGCAAGAAGCCTCCCGGAGCCACAGTGGTGCCAGCAAGAAACCTCCCGGAGCCACAGTGGTGCCAGCAAGAAGTCTCCCGGAGCCACAGTGGTGCCAGCAAGAAGCCACCCGGAGCCACAGTGGTGCCAGCAAGAAGCCACCCGGAGCCACAGTGGTGCCAGCAAGAAGCCACCCGGAGCCACAGTGGTGCCAGCAAGAAGCCACCCGGAGCCACAGTGGTGCCAGCAAGAAGTCTCCCGGAGCCACAGTGGTGCCAGCAAGAAGCCTCCCGGAGCCACAGTGGTGCCAGCAAGAAGCCACCCGGAGCCACAGTGGTGCCAGCAAGAAGCCACCCGGAGCCACAGTGGTGCCAGCAAGAAGCCTCCCGGAGCCACAGTGGTGCCAGCAAGAAGCCTCCCGGAGCCACAGTGGTGCCAGCAAGAAGCCTCCCGGAGCCACAGTGGTGCCAGCAAGAAGCCTCCCGGAGCCACAGTGGTGCCAGCAAGAAGCCTCCCGGAGCCACAGTGGTGCCAGCAAGAAGCCTCCCGGAGCCACAGTGGTGCCAGCAAGAAGCCTCCCGGAGCCACAGTGGTGCCAGCAAGAAGCCACCCGGAGCCACAGTGGTGCCAGCAAGAAGTCTCCCGGAGCCACAGTGGTGCCAGCAAGAAGCCTCCCGGAGCCACAGTGGTGCCAGCAAGAAGCCACCCGGAGCCACAGTGGTGCCAGCAAAAAGTCTCCCGGAGCCACAGTGGTGCCAGCAAGAAGCCTCCCGGAGCCACAGTGGTGCCAGCAAGAAGCCTCCCGGAGCCACAGTGGTGCCAGCAAGAAGCCTCCGGGCTCCAATACCAACATTCCTCTTAAGAAAGAAGTATAAGTTTTGTGGACTCTGCCGCGGCGTAACTCATCATATTAAACCCCTGGGAATGCTTACATAA